AAAAAAAAACCTCAAATCTTTGCTGCTTGAGCACTTAAAGCTGCTCATGCAACAAAGACATTACCAACTGCCAGTCTTCATGCAAAGTGCCACAGGGCTGTCCAGCCCAGCTTCAAGCAGAAACTGAACTCAGGAACTGGGCTATCCAGCAGCAACTGAATCATGAACTGTTCCTAGACCCTAAACTTTAAACCCTATGCTGCACAGTCAGGCTATCCAGCCCATGCAAAAAATCCAAACTAGTGGGCTGTCCAGCCCAGCTCGGAACAGAGACTGTTTTCAGGACCTGGGCTTTCCAGCCACTGCAGCAGCAACTGAAACATGAAACTGCTCGGCACTGAGGCTTTCCAGCCCATGCAAAAAAAAAAGAGTACTGGCAAGGGGTATAGGGCTGTCCAGCCCATTTATTGAACAGAAACTGAAATGAGGAACTGGGCCAGCCAGCCCCTTCCAGATATTGAAATCAGAAACTGGGCTTTCCACTACCAGCAACCGAATCCTGAAACTGCTGGGCACTCAGGCCATCCAGCCCACAGAAAGAAATTGAAAACTACCGGGCTCAGGCATTAGGGCGTTCCAGCCCCAGCTTGGAACAAAAACTGAAATCAGCAGTTGGGCTTCCAGCCCGTGCAGGCATTGAGGCTCTTTTTTGCTGGCGGCGAGGTCCAGCTCAGTCAGGGATCTTGTGTCCTCTGCTTCGCCACTGCGTGGCCAGGCTCCGGCACAGCAGCACCGTCGGCATGAGATCTGTTGAGCTCCTCAAAGGACTCCTGCAGCATCTTTTTCCATTCGTACATCACCTTGTCCCACTTGTTGCTGCCAATGTTGTCATAGGCTCTGGGAGTAGACATCTCGCCCTCCACGTAGTCCGTCCTCAGCGAGCGATTGAGGGCAAAGAGGCCATAGGCTGGAGTCCTTTTCACGAGATCTATCACCCGCTGTCTTTTCATGACAGTGTTTGGGTAGTCCGTCCAGTTCCGCGCCTGCGTGCCACCACCTTCCGTCTGCGTGCCACATTCCTTCGTCCAGCTTGGCGGCACCTCGCCAGGTGGATAGGGAACACGAACTGGAATCCCTCGTGGCGAGGGATCAGCCATGGCCGCTTCTGGTTTCGCTGCATTCATGGCCGGAGCATGAAAAGGCTACATCGTCAAACAATAAAAATTCACAAGCTGTGAGGGCGGCTAGGGCTGTCCAGCCCAGAGACCTTTACCCTAAACCCTATAAACCCTAAACCCTAGAGGCTTTCCAGCCCAAACTCCATTTCATCATTTGTACTTTTCAGCCCAGAGCACGAAAATAGCCGAAGTCCTGCTACCTGATGAATGATTTTGTGTCCGTCCCTCTAAACCCCAATTTTAAATTCCCTTGAAACATTTTTCGTAAAATCATACCACAGTCAACATGAAAAGCGCCTCAAGCCCCTGAGCCCTACCCTACCTTAAGAACCGTCTGATTCTAACTCCGCCCGCAACTTTTCCAGGAGGGCTCCAGCAGCTCAGGTGTCACTTCTTCAGCAGCTCTCTTTCACAGGGCAGCAGCAGGTTCTTAATCTTCAGGATGCCTGCTTTGCTTGCAGCCACAGTTGGTAGCTTCAGCTGCAGCAGCTGCCTGCCCCCTACCACTCTGAGTGCCACTGCACCGGTCTTATACGTCATGATGGTCAACTGCCCCGCGGATGGCAGGCTCCAGTCGGGTGACAGACCATCGTTTGCGCCAGCTGGCTTCTTCAGGCCTTTTCATGGCCGCCCGAATCGCCCTCTTCCTGACCGGGACTGGTTCTGTTTCCCGAGCTTCTGCCAGCAAAGAGTCTGATTTGCTTGACTTGGGAGTCTCTGGGACCTCAAACTGAGACAACCTGATGGGAGGTGGGGTTCCTTCAAGCTCTTCAGGGCCAGTTTCTTCCACATTTAGCCTCTCACTGCGCTTTGCCCCGATCTTCTGCGTCAGCTCTTTCAAGCTTTGCGCTTGCTGCAGGCTCAGCTTGGAAGCAGCTTCCTCAAATTTCTTCTTATCCCTGACCAGTCGCCGACAGTGTGCACACACTACTAGCAGGGCTTCGCCCAAGAGCTTCGGCAGCTCACTTTGCTGAGCTATGGTGAACTTGTCCTTGACACCAGGGAACTGCTTCAAGGCCTCGCCCGTCTTCAAATCTGTGTGCTTGAACTCCATACTCGGGCTGACCAAGGCCAGTTTCTGGATCAGGCCTGCCAGGTCGAGCAAACTGCTCCCAACTGCTGCCTGGGCAGTACTGAGCTCCATGTACTTGCCCAGTCTAAAGCTGGCAGCCACTCCTTCATGTCGCACGTGGGATATGATTGCATCCTCCAGGTGGGTGAGGTCTACACTTGGAGTTTTATTCCTCCTAGGCCCCCCCCTGCTAGTGCCCCTCTTGAACATCTTGGCCTGCAATGCGTTTCTGGAACAACATGTCGCTCACAAATAGCTATAAGGCTGTCCAGCCCAGACACGTCTGTTTACTGGAACTGTCCAGCCATAAACGCATCCTGCCATGTCTGCCTGCTGCTGCTGCGCACATGTCCTACATGACCCACATGAATGTCCATGCTGTTGCCTACACCTGCCTGCCCTAATTACAGCCCTAAACCCTAAACCCTAGCCCCAAGCCCCTTAACAGAGGCACAGATCAGCCCTGTAGCTGCAAGGTTTCCTTTTTAGCCTTCCCCATGCAGCCATCCTCCCATATCCTGCGAATCTTGGCCTTAATGCCATGGTCTACGCCTGTTCTAAAACTAAGGTCTCAGCATCGCTGTCGTCTTCTTCGTCTCGCGGATGGTATCGGCGGTACTCCTCAGCTTCAGCGGCCGCCGCCCTGATCTGCCGCTCTTGAAGTGCCCTCTCCTCCATCTGCCGCATCAGGTAGATCATCATGCGGAGAAACTCCACAGTTGGGAATGGCTCTGGAGGTGGCCGATTCTTCGGCTCCTTCTCATCGGGGGTAAAGTCCGGCGCCCTCTTCGGTTTCTTTTTTGGTGGGGTTCTCAGAGTGTCTCTCGACATGCCAGATGGCGAGGGCGGGGGGGAGCCACCTATAGCTTCAGACCTGTAAACAGCTGCAGCAGTCAAACATCCTACATGCCCTAAACCCTCAGTCACATGCATTTCCATGCCTAGTTCCTATACCTGCCTGTCATGTTCCCAGCTGTCCAGCCCTCTTCGTAAGCTGCGTGTGGCTCAGTTTTTGGCGGCCTTCCCCAGCCGCATGCTGCCACTCTTGGGCGTACTGCTGCCCTAGCCCTCACTATCGCTGTCTGAGTAGTACGCCAAGGCTGCCTGGACCATCAAGTTCCTCCGCCGCTCGCTCTGCTCCCGGGAACGGATGAGTCGACGCTCCGCGTAGTCTCTCATCGCGCGGAGTAACTCCGCAGTTGGGAATGGCTCTGCAGGTGGCCGATTCTTCGGCTCCTTCCCTTCAGGGGTAAAGTCCGGAGCTCTCTTCGCCTTCTTTCTTGGTGGGGTTCTCGGAGGGCTGCTCGACATGGCAGCTGACAAGGGCAGAGAGGGGCCACCTCTAGCCTCAGACCTATAGACAGCTGCAGCTTTAAGTTGCGCTACCTATAGCTGGTCTTAAGGCTCTCCAACCCACGCACAGAACATGCTCACTGCACAGAAGAGGATGCGCTTGGGGCTGCCCAGCCCATGTGTGCTTTTGGGGCTGTCCAGCACACATGTCTTTATAGGCTGTCCAGCCCACGCATGTCTTTAGGGCTGTCTAGCCCACGTATGTCTCTGGGCCTGTCCAGCCCATGTGTGTCTTTGGGGCTGTCCAGCCTTGCTGTTCCTGGCCTCTTAAGGCTGCTGTCTTGATGTCTCTGCCCACACACACAACCCCTCAAACCCCTAATCCCGAGATGATCTTAGGGTTTAGGGATGAATTAAATACATATGAAGATATATATATATTGTATAAATAAGTACATATTATATGTATATCGGTATATATATCCAGATAAAAAAAAATATATAGAACATGGATTTTTCGTGTCCAAAATTCGATCCAAAAAAATCAATCGCGAAATCAATCGCGAAACCAATCGTCGTGGCATGCGGCGAGCACCTCATTTCCCTCCCAAAATGGCAAAATCAATCGAGGATTGATTTTGCCTAAAAATCAATCGAAATATTGATTTTGAGCCAGATCGGACGCTTTGGGGATCCGGACTTTGGGAAGGTGATTCGAGACTTGATCGAGACCGACAACATCATCTACTTGATCTTTGGCGCGGGCCTGACGGCCTTGTTTTGGACCAGTCAAGTGGGGACTGGCAGTGGCTTGCCTGACTTTGGGCAAGAGATTTTGGACTAGTCCGTGTCTTCGAGAATGGCTACGGACCTGGAACGACCGCGCCGGCTTGGCGCTGACAGTTCTTGCGGCCGCGATCACCTGCGGCCCCGTCTACTCCACCTTATGGGCAAGGTGGCTTGGATGGCTCTGAGGGCCAAGCAGCGAGAAAGTTTGTCGACTACGAGATGGACCCGGCACCTGGCTGGATTGGAGAACATCCGGAGAATGAATACCGGGAATCTCATTGGCAAGCGCATCTTGGATGCCATCCCCTTTGGGAGCAGGCTGGCGGCTTCCCTGGCCCACTTGAGGTGTGGATGACATCACGGCTCCGGATGGTTACAAGCAGATCATTGCATTGCGGTCATTGAGGAGACCCATGCCTATATCTGAAAGAGGCCCGACTGGAGCAAGTCTTTGATGCTGCCATCTTCCGTGGCCGGCGGCGACCTGGGCAGACCTTAACGGGCTTCCTGGCTACCAAGAAGGCGGCCCTTGCAGAACTGAAGAAGCAGGGCTTGGATATGCTTGCCACCGATGCCGGAAACCACCTCCTTGGACACAGCAGCGCATTCAGGTGCTGACCGACGGCAATAGACTTCCGGAAGATCGAGCTGTCCATTCGGAAGATCTTTGGCGACTCCTTGGATGACACCCAGGCAAGGACATACTGGGAGTCAGCTTGGAACGACGACGAGGACGATGGCCAGGACGACTACGAGAGCTACTTCGGCGGCAGCGGCTACGACGGCGACGCCATCGAGAACATGACTGTCTTCGAGGTCCTCCTCGACTTCGACTCCAACACCGGCGAGGTCTACAGCGATTGTGGACGACCTGCCCCCGGAGTCCCTGAAGGAGACGGAAGGCCATCGAGTATGCCGGCGAATACCTGAGCTGGGTCTTCTTCAAGACTCGCGACCGGGTGAAAGGAAAAGGCAAGGGCAAGCATGGCAAGAACGGCAAGGGCAAAAGCTTTGGAAAAGGGAAGGGCCACAAAGGTGGCTTTGGCAAGAAGCCGGCGCCTCCTGGCACCTTCGGCTTCTACGGCTCCTACATAGACCATCGACGGGCGCTACAGGACGCTCGGAAATTCCCTCGAGCAGCTCCGGGCGAGGTCGCGATGCCACACCTGTCGGCAAGTCGGACATTGGTCCAGGAACTGTCCTCTGAAGGGGCGACAGCGAGAGGCCAATCGGCCACCAAGTGGGGCAAGCCAGCCCGCCGGACATCGGCCAACAACGGCCATGTTCTTTGTTGAACCCTCGCCAACTGCCTCAGGGTATTTCACCGCGAGCGCATCCAGCCCAACAACCGAGCAATACATGAGTGGAAGCCAGTGTGACATACCAAGTCTTACTTACTTCAGTTGTTTGTGCGTCAGCTCTTCGAGCCGACAACCTGGGACCTTTTGTCCTACAACTTCTGGGGAGGGCTGCAACATGGGCTGATTGGGCAAGAAACCCTGGCCAAGCTAGACCAGCACTTGGCGACAAAATTTGGGATGCGAGTCCAGCGCACAAACGAGGACGGCGGCACGGTCAGGGAGGTCTGTGGGTCCGAGGAGCTTACTCCAATCGCCTATATTCCCATTGGGATCGGTGGCTGTTCGGGACTTCTTCGTGTGCAGATTGTGCCTGGTGCAGTGCCATGCCTACTTGCAGATTATACTTGTTGACAGACATGGGCAGCATCATTGACATGGTAGGCTTGACTATGTTTCACACCACGCTTGGAGTGACCCAGCAGATGTATCGGAGAAGCACAGGTCATGTTGAAGTTTGCCTCGCTGAGTATGGTCGAGGGTTCTCAATGCCAGATGCCGCTAGCTTTGGGAGGTCTCAAGTGTGGTCTAACCACCCTCTCCCGAAACCAATTCGAATCACCAATGCCCTCGACATGCGCGTGCCATTGGAGGCGCTTCTTCTTGCGGCGTTTGCGATTGGTGGTGTGGACTCAGGCAGCTGGCCCCTGTGCTACGACAGTCGCCGACCTGTACGCACCCCAAGATCAACCGCGGCTCAACCGCGACTGGAGCTGGACGAAGTGCGAAGCTTGCGGAGCGATCGAGCAGATTCCCAAGCTCACCCCAGACAGGATGACCGAGTGGAACACTGTCTTGGTGTACCAGGCACCCAACTACGTCACGCCACAGGCCAAGAAGGACGCAAGGCAAGCCAAGAAGAAGACTGAAACAACTACCGCGACGAGCTCGACAACGCCGACTGCTACCCCACGGTTACGACACCACCGGCGACTACAGCTCGGACGGCGGCTACACCCCGGCACGGCCGAGCAAGACCCAGACATTTGGCGACCACCTTCGGCAAACGGCGTCTTCGGCACGATTAACGGCAAGGACAGCAGCGGCGAGTACGGCGCGAGCAAGCGGCCCACGCTCAGAAGGGCCAATGCTTCCACCCAGCGGCCGCCGAGCCACCGCTTCATCCCCCGGACCAACAGGAGTTCGAGATTGGCGCCCGACAGCCTTCAAGCTTTCCCTCCACCAACGTCGGCTGGGGATTGGGAGCACGACATGATGGAGGACACGCTGAACCTGCTGATGCCGGGTGCAGCACCGACTCGGAGCTGCGCGAAGTGCCTCGTGGGCGAACTGGTGCTGAACTGGCGCGAGGAGAAGCAGAAGTATCTGTGGATTTGCCAGCGGGGCGACCCGGACTGCGAGTTCGTCTGGACGGACAAGATCGAGCTCAACTCGGTGATAACGGCTTTCGAGGTGAAGCTTTGCTTTCAGTGCCGGCGGAAGCGTTGAAGCCGCATCAGCTGCGGGACCGGTGGGCGTGGATTTGCCCGAGCTGTCACGACCAGACCTTGATGTCCGAGTGGGACGGTGTGATGGCCAGCTTGCTGCTTTCTGGGGGATACAACCCGGACAGGACGCACAATGGATGGCACGTGGAGCCAGTAGGTGGCCTGGAGGAAGAGCACACCGCTGATGAGATCGGGCTGTCCTTTGAAAGCCTGGAGATGCTGGCCACGCTGGTCAATCCAGCGAATA